AGCAGAATGGTCACGGCCCGTGGGCTATAGCTTGAAGGAAAAGAGACCTGTAGAAATACATGAAAAGACCGCAGGGGCTATCACCTTAAGGAAAAGATCACAAAAACTGTAGTTTTAAGGAAAAGACCACCACAGTCATCACATTGTGAGGAGGTTGTGGCAGGGGCGGTTTTGGGCTTGGTGGGGAGGGGGGGGGGGGGGGGGAAGCGCAAGTCGACGAAAATCCCATATTTCAAATTGGCCATTTCAATATCCGCACTCCAAAGCCCACTTACGCTTACACACTGTGCGCGGCAGCACAAGTAACCCCATCCATAGCACAAGTTCGCGCTATGGCAACCTCTATTTGCGCTCTAATTCTGGTTACTTGCACTTACGCACAGCACGCGATAGCACAAGTGACCTTTAGAATACGGATATTGAAATGGGCAATTTGGAATATAGGATTTTCGTCGATTTGCGCTTACGCGCAGGGCGGAAGCACAAGTAATTTGAAACGGGTCATTTGCAATATAAGATTTTGGTCGATTTACGGTTACGAACACCGCACGGAAACACGAATAGCTTGAAATGGGCAATTTGGAATAACGGCTTTAGGTCTAGTTACACTTAATCCGAGGATCTATTTTATTTGGACCTCAGCCTCCGTAATATAATAAATAACAATGTATTGCTTCTCGATTACAATCAATAAGAATCTAATGCTTGCAACTAGATATTTTTCTTCGCCGATTGCTTTATTTAAACACGACCCTATTTCTCCGTACGAAAAATCGCCCAATAGAAAATATATTGTTTTGAGGTTTCTCAGCGAAAAAAATCTTTACATATAGGTCATATAATCCATATTGGTTATCGGATTAAATAACTATAATGAAAAGGCGTATATATTGTCCACGGTATCGTGTCAGGTACGCCGGTGCCGTTAAAAGGCGCGGTCGTCCTACACGTGACCCTTCTGGAGGGCAAAACCGCGCGGAAGGTGCCCGGGCTGGTCCCGAGATATTTGCGCGCTATAAGATAGCAGCGCGCGGTACCAACGACTGGCATGGGCTCATCCTCAGCGGCAGGGCTCTTAACTGCGCCAGTTGGATGGGCCTGCGCTTCAGGCCGGGCCCCGAGCATCCCATCCTGGATATATTGAGTATCAGGATCCCGCGGTGTGAGGACTACACGCGGGAGAAAGGACCGAGCGTACGCCTTTCAGGCGCGGCTCTCCTCGCTCGACGACGGCGGTTGCTTCGAGTCTGGATACACCGGCCGGGAGCTCCCGCGCTACGCCGGCGCGGAGCCCTTGGAGCTCGCGCCTGGCGCCTTTGAAAGGCCTTTCATAGTGCAAGTGAAGCTTTCAAGCAGAAGGTGTCGCGTACAGCTGTGCCGAAATTGACCCTGAGGACTGCTTGGACAGTAGGAGGACCTCGCCCTAGGGCTAAAGACCTCCCACCTGCTGCAAACGGCCATTGAATAGCCCATTTTCTCCTCTAGAGCCGAACCTTCTCAGACCTCGCCTTAGGGCAGAAGACTGCGCAGCAACCAAAAAAATCATCCTAATTTGGCCCAAACCCCTTAGCCCAGCAACACTTATTTCCAGGATTTACGATTCTCGTGGTCTGGTTGGCCTGGACCTAAAGCCAATAATTCAATAGGTTGACGGGGCAGCCAGGGTATTGTATGTCGGTTATAAATACGTCTGCGAAAAGTTGAAGCCAATTTATTAGAATTTGTTGTGCACGTTCGTGTACATGAAGACACCCAATTATAAAGCCCTTCTCTAAAGAGGGCTCGGCATTACAGAAAAAATCTCCTTTGGGGAGGCCGCGAAATCCCAAAATCCAGAATCCAGCCCAACAACCTCTCAACTCGAGCTATTATAATAAAATATTTTTAAAGTTGTTTTATGGATTTATAATTTCAAAGCATTGTTTTTTAAAAAGTATTCAAAAAAAATAGTACCACTGCCTGGGATAAACTCTCCATCACTTTATTTTCACGCCCGGTAGAAGTTGCCTAGAAATCTTTTGAGAGTTCCGTAGGTGTGTTCGGCTCGTCGACCCAGTGTTATGGTGCATCCCTTAAAGGTTAATTTTCCATACAACAAACTAATATTCTTTATATTGCCACTTTATATTACACCGAACAGCCCGTGGGTATGCACCATCGCTTAGTCTTAAGTTCTAGTGGTGCCTAGACTATTCACAAGCTTTAGATTCTTCGTAGATTTCAGAAGATATGTCAAGTTTTGCCCAATTTGGAACGGGCGGCTTCTCTATCAGAGGCATTTTAAATCTCGAAAATAATTTTGTATACATTCATAATATTTACACATATCATAGAGAATAATCTAAGCCTCGGCGGTAGGTATGCTTTCGCCATGTGATATAGATTGGATCGATGCGAAATTCGGATGAGCCTTGCGATGTGTAGCAAGCCAGCATTGGCCTAGAACACAAATAATTTACAAGCTGCGTATTGTGTGAGTCAACCAAAGACGCTTGGGCAGAATATTCTCGATACGTTCAAACGCATGAGGGCAATTGCTGCTAAATTTGTTCTTTCTTCGGAACAATCAAAGCCGACAGAACACACCCGGAAAACGAGGATGAGGATGACGATGATAATGAGAACGACGAAGGTGATGCATGTGAATGCCGACGTGCCGATGACCCGCGCGATAGCTGCAGCTTCGAGGTGGCTTGACCTAGATCGCGGTGCTGGTTAGCTCAACTTATTCAGCACGGCCGCCAGGGAGGTTCAGCTCAAATCGGAAGCCGGCATGGCGCTCTTTTCAAGCTTAATTCATGCATCTGTCTGGCACGTGCTTGTTAAGCACTAGTCGCATGCGAATGCGACCGACAGCCGCCCACTAAGCAGCACTGCCAAGCGCCCTCTCCTCCCCGGCCGGAGTAAATCATGGAACACCTCAGCGCTGTGCAGCTCGCAAATCGTCTCGCCGGTTTTGAGTGCAACGTCAGGTGATAGTGCAGGCGCGTGAAAGTGAGGGTCTAAGCAAGCGGCACTGCTTAGATGCGAAATCCACTGGAGCCTTGAAGGCCATTGCCCGGGCTGCCTGCAAGACAGTCGGCAGAAGATCTGGGGAATTTCTGTCGACGTGCAAGTGTCGGGTGCTACCTCCCCAAGACAAGGGGCTGCCACGACCACCTCAGAGTCCATCCACACTTGGACCAGCAGCAATTCGCGGTTGATGTGATCTTGGGCCATGCGCGTTGGGCTGTGACGGGATAGGCTCGAACGCGTTCGGGGGGACCTGTCTCAGAGAGCCCGTGTCAAGGCACATCAATCGCAAGGACTTTGAGAGGAAACATGCCTCCACTACCACTCGCGCTCGCGCTCCAAAAGCCGCCTGCAACACCTTGGGCTCAGGATTTGGAGAATCTCTTGAAACTTCTCTTGAAAGCCAGTGAAGCACCGGAACCTCGCACCGCCGGTGTCTGTGGCGCCTCTGAGCCCGGGCGGGAGCCAGGACTGAGACCTGGCAATGAACGAACGGTGCTTCGCATGGCAGCTCGGATGTCACATGCCAGGAAGGCCGTACAGCTGCTGTGCAGCCACAGGTGAGGAAAGACCACCGGTCACCAGAACTGTCAAACACAGCATATCGTCAAAGAATGCACTTCTACTAAGCTGCAAAACATCTGACAATCTCGCTCCAGCAAACGCCCACTGCTCGGCCTGGTGGGGCAGCGCTCATGATCCTGTGCGTGGTGCAGCAACATCATACTTCGTCTTGCTCAGCAGCTGTTGTGACGTCGTGCCTGTTAGCACCTGCACCGGCTGATGCTTCACCTTCGTTGAGACATGCGGCAGGCAGTGAGCAAACATTGCCACCCTCGTCGAGCGAACCTTCGAACCTATGATCCAATTCAACCTTGCTAGGTTCCAGGCCCGTGGAATCCTCGCTGATGCCGCGGATGTGCTGCCATGCAAAGTCGAGAAAAACTAGCTAGAGGGCAGTGGTGCATTATTTGGTCTCACCATTCCAGAATTCAGAGACGGGAAACAGTGCAAAGCCTGTTCTCCCACCCATTGAAACATCCCGCACAAAGCTGCGGCTTTCGCCACGTCAAACCCTTCCCAACTTTCGCACGACATCGCACAACCATGCGCTGAGAGCATGGTAAGAAACTCAGCCCGCCCTTGGACACGTGTTGGCTAGCCACGCAGGATGCACACGTCTTAGGTGCAGCTTGCAGATCAACATGTGCCACTAACGAGCCCATGCATGCCGCTAGGATACGACAAGGAGATTGTGCTACATGGGAGCTTCACATACCTGAGCTCCTGGCAAGCTTCTCAATGTGCGTTTTGATGGTGTGGTAATCCTGAGTCAAGTCATCTCACGGCGTCGTCAGAGTAGCGTCACAGTCGCACTGACAATGAATTCGTGCCTTGGAGTCTCGATTCAGGTCCATGGCCTGTGAACCGAGACGGCAGCAGGAGAAGCTTACCAGCTACAAGCGCCCCTTCAACTGGTGAACTGTGCTTCCAGCGATGTTGAAATGGTACAGAGCTTTCCTGTCCTTCTGCAGCTTCATGTAGACCTGTGCCACGCTGTCGCTGTGAAGTGCGGGTATGTAGATCGCACAAAGCTCCGGCCTTACCTAGCTGGAAGTGCACGCATGCCTCCTTGGGAGCCAAGCAGCGCACCTGCACCGGCTGCAAGCAGAAGGACGATGGCGACTCAAAGCAAACTTCTCCCCACGGTGTAAAAAGTACAAGGATCATGTCTTTCCCCGTCCTTCTTCAGGTCAGCAAGGGCTTCTTCGTGTCTATCCAAGCTTATGAGGACGCATGCTTTCTGGAAGTACCTCCGCAGAACATCACATCTCGCAGCTATAAATAGCGCTTGAACCTATGCGGCGCACGCCATGCCATTTTGTGGCTCTGCCTGAGCTGCCTCCACATGACCAGAGTTGAATGCACCGTGGCTGTACCGAGTACTCGACATAGCGACTACCTGGTCGAAGCTGTCAAGGGCCAGCAGCGGCTGTTTTAACGCGCTTAGCACCTCGGGGCTGGCTTGGTTCAGCACTACGAACCTTAAGACACAGCCTCTCAGCTCCAAACCATGCCCAGGTAGCATCTAAGGACAGAGTTGCTCGCATTCACTTGAAGGGCCTGCACACTCTTGACGCATCGGAAACCTCTTGAAGTGAGCTTTTGCATGCAGTGCTTGCCTTGTAGAAGTGGTACTTTGCATTCCTCAAGCTTGACTGGCTCCGTTGATACAAGTACTCAGGGCAATAACAAACTCTCACAGTGTCGGCCGAGAAACTCATGTTCCTCTTGGCGATGGTAGATGTTGCCGAGACCCCACCTTGCATGATATCTTTGGCCCCGACCGGCTTGACTCTCGTATGGCCCGTGCCAGGCATTGTAGTGCCGCGGGTCGAGGTTCAAGGCGTTCTCGTACATCGCAACGGCCTGGCAGGGAAACTCTTCAGTTAACAGAACTTTCAATTGCAAGCAGGTCCGACGCACTGCAACGGTACCCTTGAGCCAAGCACGGGAACGCGCCTTGTCAATTTTCTCGCTGGCCACGAACTCATGGCCGCACAATGTGTACGCATATGTGAAGTTGGCATCGACCTGCCGACACACTGAAGCCAGGACAAGATCACAAAGTGTCGTGTGTGTGTGTCGTCTCGCCTGGATAGCACGCTTAAAGAGCTTGATGGCGGCATCGTGTTCTTTCTGCAGACTGGCGTGGAGGCGACCAAGCTTACTCAGGTCGCTTGCATGAAATATCATGAGACTTTATCTTGGATTGGCCTGAAGCAGTTTCCGACCACGCACCACACTTGAGGTCTCAGGCGGTCCTTAGCTCAGTGTGCATGATCTTGATGCGATCCCATTCCACAGATAAGTTTAGTCTGCCGACACGGACTGCTGAGAAGCACCGGCAATACAGTTGCGGCACTCCAGCCGAGATAAGGTGCAGGCCCACTGTAAACATTGCTGCGCCAGTCTACCTGTGAAGCGAAGGATCTATCTGTTCAGGACACCGGATTGCTCAAGTCCAGGTGCCCGACACAACTCCACATCTCTGCGAAGGTGCCACAAGGCAGAGGAGTAGTACTCAAGTCCTGGCAGATTGGTACGCGCACACTCTCAGCACAAGTGAAACCGCTCTGCACGTCTGTTGGCCGAAAGATTCAATCCACTGTCAGCTGCCCTCCCCCCCACCCACGCTCCTTCAACTCGATGAGGCTCCACTGTCCAAGCCTCCCAGCAACTTCCAGCAACTGCCATGACTGCGGACTCGTCAAACTCCTGTGCAAATCTGCGCTGCCTGGTTGTATGCCAGCTCGGACTTCTTGTAGTCCGCTGACTCGAAATGACTTAACCTGAACCCGAGTGGAGGACAGAAGCAAGAAGGCCTGAGACTCCTCCGAGCCGCCAGCCCCACCAAATCCAACACGTATCCGGTCTCATAGTGCCTACCCCAACATGCCCCTCAGTCGAATGAATGTGCGTGTTGTTAGAACAAGCTCATCGCTCAGCTCAGGTATGTTATGACAGAGCCGACGAATTGAAGCCTGTCGCAGCCTATCACAGAATGATGAGTTCACAAGGTGACGGTTGTGATTGCATCCGCGCCATGCTCCTGCCGAAGCTAGCGGAGAACAGTCATTTCGGAGCTGCTACGAAACCAGCACCGGTTGTCCCTACGGGCTGAGCTCCATGGATTCTCATTTTGCTAAGTGCTCAGTCTCAAGCAGCTCACCGGCGAGTGCCTCTTTGGCAACGATGAGAGCTCGTCCACGGCTTGTTGGCAGTTGAACCCATGCCTGGAAGCCACCACAGAAAACAGAGCGAGCCAGGAACGAAGCGACGCAGACCAGCTGATGAATCAGGTGACGCGGACCTTGCGGCAACCAAGAAATAGCTGAGGCGAAGACACCGCATGAAGGGCAACTCCGAGCTTGCACAGCAGCGATGCCAAGGACAACGACTGGTCAAAGCAGAACAAGCGCAGGACTCCACAGGACACACTGACCTCCCACATAAACGATTGACATGTCATCTCGCGAGCATCAACGATTGGAGCACACCTAAGTGCACGTGCATACATCTGTATGTATGTATATATCTATTTATTTGTGTTTGCCTATTTACATTTACACACACACACGAGCCCTGACATGCAAGTGTGTGTGTGTGTGTGTCGATGTGAAGGACCTCGTCCTGGCTCTCGGCCTTACAGCGACCTTACTGGGACTGGCGGCTAGCCACCGTTACCACCACTTCGTTGCCGGCCCTACCACCGCTGGCACCACCAGCCGCCGGCCGTCAGCTTCAAAGCGGACAAGCTTCAGCCGCAAGGCCCACGGATATAATCATGCATTAGCCCTTTCCCTCCCAGATTAAGCGAAAGCACCTTGGATTTCTGGCGATGCAGCTTCAACGTTTCATGATCAGCAGAACTAGTAGCTAGCACAAACTGCCCTCTCTCATGCTTCGGTATGACGGGTATGAGTGCAACATTCTTTGTGCAGTGCCTCGTTGGAAGCGTTGCCGCCGATGACAGTTGCAGAAGGGGCATCCTTCACGGTCGAGAAAGTGGGTTCTATTCTTGCTTGGTGAAGTAGATTTCTTGGCGCTGCACGTCACACCATCTCGGAAAATGTCAATGATACCACAAGATAGCAGAACACTTGTCAACTTTCCAACGCTTCCGAAAAAGCCTTTGCCCCCAATCATCAAAACCACACAAGAGCCATTTCCTCGGCAAGGGCCGCAAAAAAAAGCAAGTTAGGAAACATCTTATCGTGCATTAAGTTTATACCCATGATAGGGATGCTGTCGAAAGCTGGGGCTTGCCCATAGGAGCAGTGACATTGGAGAGCTTGATTGCCCGCTACATGGCAGTAAGCAGGCTATAGAACTGCACCTGCCCAGCTGGTCCAGCCGAGCGCCGTGGCTCCTGCCAGGCAAACCCAAGATGGCACGATGGAAAAGGGACGTCCATCCACTCCTTCTGCGCATGTCCATCCAGAGACCTGCTGTGCCAACTCTCGCGCCGCTCCTGCGCACGGGCTCCATGAAGACATCATCGAGACTGACAAGGCAAGTTGACCATAGTCCCTTTTTTCGGGACACCCAACAATAGATCTTGAATCCGTGTAGCCCCTGTTTCAGGTCTCATGCGAATTCTGGCACCTCGAAGGCTACCCGCCCAATAACCGGCAAGTAAGGTCCCGACGCGGCGATTCAGCGTCCCTTTTGACCCCAGTTCGTTTCTCGGGGGAGCCTGAGGCGCACGAACGTGCAGCTGCTGGGACGGGATACGACACTGTTGACACAAGACGACTAGACGACCTTCCCTACTGTATGAGCAGAGTCTGAGCCCCAGGCATTTTGTGACTTGATGGCTGTGGCAGAGGCTCGCCCCCTGAGCGCATCCGGTAAAAAGCCAGTGGAAAAACCTATATGGTGCTAAATCAATGATTACCGCTGTTTCCGGGGTTAGTTTGCTGCACCACACGATCTATTTCAGCGCCTCTTTTGTCTTTGCAGTCACATCGATCTGCTACGGCAGCCAGAGCTCCAGAGATCAAAGACAGGAGGCCGACCACTAAATCCTGCTTCGCACGCCCGCGGTGTCGTCCCAACGCTAGAAGGTACTGCTCGTCACTGCTCGTGACAACTCTTTTTCGGCAGTGGCTTGCGTGCCCTGGAACAAGGCCTTCGCTCGGGGCACGCCCTCAAAGACTGACGTGGCATCGTTCGGCTGGTCCGACAGGCACACAGCAGTCGAATCGTCTAATCCCTGCCGCACCGACCTGAACGCTCGCCTTCCAAAGATAGCTTTCTGCTATCAGCCGCTGATGTTGTCATCTAATGCAGAGACTTTCGGTCCATGAACTCGCTGGTCAACGTCAATCAGCTCAGACATCATCACATACAAGCTTGGAGTAAACGTAAAGCATCATCCTCAAGTTTATCAGAAAAGATGTGCTTCCAGCAATGAGGGCGCTCTGGAGCGAGCCAAGCAAAGCCACGCTGCAGGCAGAGCGTGGCTGATCCTGACATGTCCAAGGCTGTCATGGGAAGCAACGGTTTGTGCACGAGTGCACTACGTCCTGCACGACTTCAGAATGGTGCAGAAAGATTACCACATTCAACAATCGTGGCCAACTGGAGGCGGCACAGAAGCTGCGAGCCCTCTTGACAACCCCGCCTCGCAATCAGTCCAAATGCGGAAGGCATCGAAGCAGAAGGACATGAAAGCTCCGTAACAGTACGACAGCCACCACCAGCGATAATCTTCCTGACGAGCTTGACATTCGATGGTACCCTAGGCTTCTTGCGGTTAAGCCTGCTACTAGTTGCGGTGAATGTCAACGCGTCAACAAAGTGCAAGGTGAACCCTTCATTGGTCTCTCAAGTCCTGGGTAAGCCTGCGATGTATCATCAGCAATGATAGTTGAGAGCACACCACCGCCAGTGTAGCACTTACCGACCTTGGGCTGGAGCGGTCGACATGTCACATGTCATGCTGCGAGACCCGACACAACCAGTGATTCAATCAACCGCCTTTGCCTGCCCTTGCTGAACCGAGGCTGCATCCCCGTGTAGAACTGTGGACAAATAGTCTATCCTTGTCCTCTTGCTGCGAGCATGTCTATTCAATAGATTCAATAGTCTAGCTCGAAGTTTCTGCCGTCAGGTTGTTTGTAGCACTGCACGGAAAACTTCGATAATCATGGACATATACACTAGATCAGCCATGCAACGCTGGCACTTGGAAAAGCTGGGACGGCCAGTACGTGTAGCTGGCCATGCCAATCCACACCATCAGGGCTGCTTCTCCAAAAAGAGGCACCAGCCTAGTTCTTTTCTGGCGCTGGTAGATCTCACTCCGAGACACTCATGCTCTGACTGTCTAGAGGCCAGAGTCACTGGGGTCGAGGAAAATCATCTAATTTCTGCAAGTCGCTGGGAAAGTGGAGAGTGCGGAATCTCTCGGTGAATCTTCTTGAATCCGGTGAAGAATCCTTGTGGCCGCAGAGCACCGAACTGGCAGCCTGTGTGAACACCCACGAAGGCGAACCCATGCAGCGCGACAAACCATGTCCTCAGCGACTCAGCAGAACCCGTCCTCATGGCAAGAACCACATGAGTGATATGTGCTCAGGTGGCACAGCGAGCTGCAGCCCTTCTGGGCCATGCCAATGCTGACAAACTAAGCGCGGATGCAAGGACACTCGCAGGTTCGTCTCCAAAGCCCGAAGCTCGTCAAGGTAAAGAGCAATCTGCAAAAGGACCAGAAGAATGCTCGCCACGTAGCTAGCATGACGGCTTGTCCCAAGAGCTCCATGCAGCCTCAAGTACAGTCGCGGTGTTGGAAGATGAGTTTTTCTTGGGACGTGCCCCCAAGAGCTCCATTTTTGATGAGCGGCCTCCCCAGGCAGAAACTAGCACAGGCCACTGCCAGACAGTCGGAAAAGAAGCTGTGGTGGTAGAGTCCTTTCAGGGTGCGGACAAGCTGCAACATGGGTCATGGAAGATCGTGAATGTAGGCACTCCTTCGGCCAGTTCTGTTAGCATCGTGCTGACCCCTGCACCAACCATAAGACCAAGCGCACCGCCAAGCAAAGGTGGTCTGAAAACATCGCCTGAAATCTAGCCACTCGACCAAGCAATGCTTGCCATCCGCATGTACTCTGCTGGTGTGCTCCGGTAAGGTTCATCATACTGCGACAGCATCAATCAGATGAGATGACGAGGCACCGTATAAAGCCATCCATACAGGGTTTTCTGCATCGTCATCATTTACTCGCTTCATGCCTTCCAGAACTCATTTTGACTTGCTGCCTGCTGACGCAGCTGTTCATGCGATGGCCTTGTTTGCGGCCACGAAGGAGAAATGATAATGTTGAACCAGTTGCCAATACTACAGCTCCTGTTCGCAGGCTGGATTCAAGCACGACAGGCTCCCAAATCAGGCGTAGATGCGCAGAGCAGAGCATTCTGTAGTGGCTGCTGATCCTGGCAGAACGAGAACCGCAAACGGCAGTGGAAGCTCCACCACCAGCGTAAGAACTCCGCGAGCGGCATCATGCGCTGCAGGGGGGCATGCTCTGAGCTGGGCATCTGGCAGAATCAAAGCCAGAGCCATGGCATGTTTCCCGCCTTGATGTCCTCGCACAGCACAGATGCGGCTCTCAACACTCGTCACCTGCTCTTACTTGGATGTCCAATAGTTCACAGTTTACTCTGTACAGCTTGATGGTGTTAGTTCCTGTGCGACCAATGCCCAATGCCTTGGCTAGCCAACCACTCAGCGCAAATGCAAGCAACGCAAGGCCGAACACCATACGTAGCAAGCAATGTACGAACGAACGAATTGTGCTCGAGCCTTTGCAAATCAGCGGTGCAGGATCTGAGCCAGGATGTCGAAATTAGGGCGTCCAACTAGTTCCCGAGGAGCTGCTTATCATACTCTTTGCAGCAAAGAGACCGTCAAATGCATGCAATGCGTACTCATGCAAATCGTGGCAGGCTCTGACAGCTCGGTTGCACCGGACACATTTTGCGCGTTGTGCTATCTGGTACAACCTGCTGCAATCGCTGCACCTTGGCGCATGGCAACTCAGAGAATCTGTTGGCGATGTGTCCGGTCATATGCACCATCTGCATCTTTCTTTCTGCCACAAATACTATTTTAAGACAGATGCAATTGACGTATCTTCCATGTTATTGGCAGACTAGCTGTGCTTCACGATCATCTTGCAGAGACCCTCAAACACGCCAAGAGACGCTTTCCTGAATCTCCTCCACGACCTTTGAGGTCTGCAGGAATTCCTCGCAAGTCATGCAGCGCACACCCTGGATACTGCGGTGTACAGCGTCTGAAAACCGATCTCCTTCCGGAAGAGCGCCATGTCAATGTTTCTGGCAGCGCCTTTGAGACGCGCCACACCCATCACCAGATCCTTGGCACAAAGGTCCTGCAAGCAGGCAGAGCAACCGAGTTCCATAGTGTTGCGACCGACCTGTACTGCATGGACTGAACTCTGAGCTCCTCCAGCCCATTTGCAGCACATATCAGCTCATGAACTAATGCCTGGCATTGCCGCTGGGGGCTCCCTAGACTTATGCCAAGTGAGAGGTGGTTGACTAAAGTGGCAAACAAACCCTGCTCGCCAGGACGCCAGGATTGGACTGCATGTTGCAAACGGCTCTGCGAGGGCTCATAACGTAAACCGCAAGTTAGCCAAAGCCTGGGGCAATTTATGCGAGGTGACTTTTTTGCGTCTGAGCCGCCGCATTGCTTACGTCCAGACCCATGGCGGCCAGCCACAGCTGTACCGAGTAGTCATCACAGACCTGCATGTTGTACGCGCTGACTGCTGAGACTGTGGGTGGTAAGTCAAACGCTGCTTCGTGTGCTTCCAGCACATAACATTGACACGAAGCCATGATGCAAAGCAGATGAAACTGATCTGCTGCCACCTGCAGCCACTCACCTCGATCCAGCCGTCCGCTCTCATCAAAGTCGGCAGCTTTGAAGAGGGCGGTCCTTTACACAGCGGGTATACTGGAGCTACCGGCTGCTGAAAAACGTTATCCAATGACTTCAGCTAAACTGGCAAGGCTGGCACCCTGATGCATGTTCTTGCCAAGACTCATTTTCGCCATGTGCAAGTTGAGAGCACGCTCTTTCTGAGTGAGCATAATCGTGTTGTCTGTTTGGGCCACTGTCACTGTCTCTTGAATGAAGACACCCGTGATGACCTAAGCGAGCCGGTCGTGAACGACTGCTGCAAGAGACCGTGCAAGGATCCAGGAACCCTGGACACGAGCGCATGGCCATGACCACTGCAAAGCCGATCACGAGCTTGTGAATCAGTGCAAAGATAACCTTGAGAACAGTCCATATAACCAACATCTGAGCCATGAGCATTCAGTTCGCAGTCGGTGGCGTCGGGCAGCGTTCTTTTTGGCTGCGGCTTGTGTTGAAAAGTGCTAACTAGGGACATCGTGGATGACCTGTCACGAGTACTCTCACATTCCTTCCAACATGCGGGTAAGTCACGTAGATCTCAGATACATCACTCATCATGAGGCGGGTCACAGGGACAAAATTGCCAAGTGTGATTTCCTGGCAGGCCCCATCTGCATCAGCATAGCAAGAACTGAGGGGATCTTACGGAATTCCAGCCAAGTTTCAAACAACGTAAGCATGGCACGTGTGAAGGTCCCATAGTACTTGTACACATCGTGCTTGTCTCCCGTGCTGTTCGGGTCGGTCAGGTATGGCTCCACTAAGGTCACCATCGCCAGAGCAAGCATCATCTGGATCCTCGGCGCAAGGTGCGTAGCGACACACGAGGCCCATCACTGCTGCAAGCACAGCGAAAACTGACACTAAACTCGCCCAGAATG